CTAGAATAGTGCGAGAGATTCGCGTGGCCGTCGTCACGCGCGGAACTGTCCTCGTGAAAAACCGGTTTGACCGGGTTCTGGGGAATTTACTTTGTTGTTGTTTTATCGAGGATTTTGATCGGGCGATTATTTCGAAAAGAACAGTTAATATTATATTTTCTTACTATTTTTTGTAAACCATTATTTTAAATACATTTTATTGAAAACTTAACGAGTTTTACCAATATCGTGGCTACAGTGCATTTTTCGTGGCTACTCCGGGTTGGGTCTTCAAAATGTACAAAATTTAGTCTCGAAATTCGCATCTACAAAAATAAAACCCTTCAACATTTGGCTTTATTGCGTCAGCCGTCAGATGCCCAAAAAACTAGGTTTCGGATTGAGTTATAACTTAATATTGAGTATATAACTATATACTGATTTATAACCTTAGTTATAGGACTTCCATATCTCAACTTCAGTCCAAAAAAACAGACCATTTCAGACTTAAATTGTATATACCCCTAATTCAGATCAAAATAATTGGGGCGGCACCATTGATACACATTGTAGACGCCGAGCACCAAACCCAATGCATACTTTTTTTGACGTACATTATCATACTGTATGATTATGATTTAGCAGTGAAATTTCTGACATAGTGTATTTTGGCAAGGTACAATTACGTCCGACGTCTAAATCAGTTGGCGAACTTGGGTCGTATTTACTGTAATTGGATTAGTAGCATATATCTATGATTAGTAGGTTCGGCGAATCAAAAGTTCGCCGTCTAAACCAGCCTAAATCATCGCGAATATACCGCCAATTGAAGGGTGCCGAAAACAAGCGAGTGCTCATGGCCGTCATGCACTTTCAGTAAATCCTGGTCGCTGGTTTATTTCAATTTTTCAATTTCTTATCTGCAAAAAAAGTAACGTCTTTCACATAACAGATACTCAAAATTGTAATCGAAGGAAACGACAACAACAACAACAACAACAACAACATTTTTTTGTTATAACTTTATATTACATAGATAAATAGTCAGTTCACACTCGATTAGAATTAAACAGAAAATAAAGTTGCTGAACACCTAAAATAACTATGTTTCTTTTGTGCTGGATAGAACAAAACAAAATTAGTTTTGGTCGCGTTTACACTATGTCTACATCTATGATGGTACGGCGAATTTAGCGTAGTGATTTGCATCCAGAGTGTCAAACGTAGTTGTCCGTAGTTGATACTTGATAGGCTACGTCAAACCAGTCTGTTATAAGCCAGTTTTCCACTTTAATCCTATCGTACCAAAAGGTCCGAAACGTAGTGCATTTCTTTGTTTCCTAAGCGGTAGTGTGGAACTAATGACTTCGACACAAAAGAAAATGCTATGGTACGTTACGATACGATTGAAGTGGAAAACAGACTACAATGTAAATACAATACTAAACCCAGTGAATTCTTAACGACATTGATTTGTACTCAGAGTAGCAAATGTAATGGTCCGCAGTTACGTACCTACAGCAAACCACTCCGTTATATTGTTTACACATGCAATATAATTTCAATACTAGAAACGTAGTAAATTTGTAACGTAATGTTAGCCGTAGCGTTATAGTGTAAACGCGGCCTTACTAATTCCTCATTCGTCATAGTTTCAGTGGCGGCGCCAGGCTTCCAAATTTGGGGGGGCATTTGAGGGGCAAACTCAAATTTTGGGGGGGCAAGATAGAATTTTTAAAAAGGTCGCCCCTCCCAGGAAATTCGCCCCCCCCCCTCAAAACGTGGCGATATTCCTAGGAATATCGCCCCCGG